TTAATATCATCATAATTGGTATACTCGAATGATGATAACATACAATACAATAGTCATTCACACTCTGGTGTCTTGTTTGTTTTTACAAAAAGAAATTATTTTCCTAACTCATTTCCCTATTATGAATGAATGCTTCATTTTTAGGAGAAAGATAAAGTTTTATTTTTGTCTTTGCTCATAAAACTTTTCGAAATCTCAAGAATATAAAATATCCTTGAAATATCGATGACAAACGAAAGAAATTTTAAAGAAATGTTTTTTTCTTATTTTTTCTTCAAAAAATACCTTTTTTTTATCATTTCGACGATAGTTGTTGTTTTAATTTATTTTTCTATCTTCTCATGTTATAGCATTTTATTTTTCAAAATATTTTCTACAAAATGAAACTGATTGATTGATGAAATCCTAGCAAAACGAAAAACAAAAAAAAATTGACGTTTCTCTATAAGTGAGGGTAGTCGAACAAGTATTTACTTATCGATAAATCCAAAATATAATGACTTCGTAATATAAAATGTTCTTGTCTCAAAAATGAATTTTTAGAATTAGTAGTTTTTTTTCCACTCTGCCTTACATACTTTCTTTTGATAGATAAAAGGAAACGTAAAATTGTATGAGTAACTTAACCTTGTTTTTCTTTTTAAATTTCAAAAGAAAGAGAAAATGTAATCAGAAAATTTTATAATTTATTAGATGATACCTATAGAAAGTAATTATCAATTATTGCCTTTCTTTTCTATTTTATAAAAGATTTCAACATTTCTTAGTTTCACGTACTGTGTGAAATTGCTATGAAACTTAATAATGATAAGTTTTCGAGTCAAAAATTGATCACTGAATCGAAAAATAGTTTTTCATATGGTTCATCTTTATATAACCCATGTAAAAACAATTAGGGGTAAAATCAGATTAAAATCGATTGAAAAATGATTAAAAATCGATTAAAATCATACACCTTTTCATCGATTTTTAATCAAAAATAATCAAAAAAATCAAAATTTCATACATAATTTTGATTAATTCTGATTAATTTCGATTATAATCGATTAAAATTTGTTGAGAAAAATCGATTTTAATTGATTTTTGTTCATGATGCATAAAAAAATCTTCAGCTGATTTTCATCGATTTGCATCAATTAAAATCGATTTTTCTCATCAAATTTTAATCGATTATAATCGAAATTAATCAGAATTAATCAAAATTATGTATGAAATTTTGATTTTTTTGATTATTTTTGATTAAAAATCGATTAAAAGGTGTATGATTTTAATCGATTTTTAATCATTTTTTAATCGATTTTAATCTGATTTTACCCCTAATTTTTTTTACATGGGAAGGACCCAAAACAAGTTAATTCATCAACTCAAGTTGATTTTAATGAAGACTTCTCGTTCAATTACAAAGAATAATTCATTGAGCATATTAACTTTGTAGAAAATGTAATCTTCATTTTAAGAATAGTTGAGATATTGACATGGGTATAATCATCAAAATCTGCCTTAAGATAAAATTGAATTGTCTTGGTCATATGTATCAATTATGAGTAGACAATAAATGTAATAAAGGAGTAACTATCATTCACTTATTATGAAGGATAACTGTATAAAATACATCTTTTCGATAAGCACGTTCTGTAAATATCACAACAAACTATCAATGACCTGTATTACTGATTTTGTATATATTTATTCAATTGCATTCACAAATTCAGAGAAATAGTGATGAATATAAAACTCTCAAAATTATTTTTAATATTAGATATAATCATTTCGTGATTGTGCATATATAAAAAACAAAACGAATGTTGAGACACATGCACCAGAAGTCATGAATTCCTCTCAAAATATACAACTGATTATACAGTATATATTATCGTTTTTATTTTCTTTTCCAGATATATTTATAGAAAAAAAATGATTCATTTTACAGATTATGAATAGAAAACAGTGATACAGAAACGATACTATTTCTAGCTTTTGGCAATAGTTTTTTTATATTAAACTACATCAAATAAAATGTTAGTAGAAAGAATGAATTGAGTTTAGATTTTATAAGCACTATCATTTTTACACATTTCACTTTCTTTTGAACGTAATCTAATGTAATGCGTAAAGACAAGAGGAATGTCGTGGTCTTACTTCATTTTGTGACAATTTTTTCTTGCCACCTGAACAATGTATCGCTTGTCACAAGGCGCAAGGGAAATTGGTTATTTGATCATATCAATTGAATCATGAAAATTGAGAAATATAAGAAAAAACAGAATTGTTTTGTTCATTGAAAATTCCAAAAACTAAATGCTTTTATTGATCAAATCTATTCAGTTTGTTTAAATATTCATGAGTATTGATCAATGAAATAGATAATTGTTTCTAGTTACTGAAAAAAATCACTGTCTATGAAATTATATCATATGCTTAGAATTAAATGAAGTATATTCTGTGTTTTTATAGATTGCAACTTCATAGACGATAAAAACAAATCTAAGTAAAAAATACACTTGTCAATGTAATGATTTCATGATAGTAATAGACCATTGTAGATGTATTCGTGTATTTCATATGATTTTTTTCTCTCTTACAGAAATTATTCAACAGATAAAAGAACTTCCTTTTGCTTTCATAGTACTTAGTTTATTCAAATCTTTCGTCAAATTATTATCGGTATATCCTTTGTTTCGATTAGATGGGGATGTTATGAAGTTTCATAAAAAAGAAAACATACTCAACAACTTATTTGTGTATTTTTCTCGTTAAGTTTTGATGTTTTTGAAAATAATAGATGCCTTTTTGGAGATATATCCGTTGTCCATAATTTTATAAAGACAATTAGAAAAAGTATGAATTAAATAGGTATATACATAGCTAGACTAGAATATTTATTATTAGATTTATCTTAATTTCCGTAATTGATATGACAAAGAATAAATTGAAGGGTCTTCATTACTTAATATAGTCATAAAAAACTATTCAATTCTCCCATCAATATAGACATTGTTCAATTGGTATTTTTTTGCCGATTTCGTTATGCAATGAACTGATGTAGTTATCGAGTGTTTGTAAAAGGGATACTTTTATTGCGATATTTATTTTGTTTTTCTTTCCAAAAAAAGTGAACAAACGTGAGTAAATAATAGAGGAGAAAATGTACAAGCAAGACATTTCATTTGAAGAGAGCTTGTTACAATGCATAGTTCAACTAAAGAAATGATAAAATAATGTATAAAAGGAAATTACTAAGATTATTAGTTAATAAAATTGATCTGAATATGAAGTATCTTTTGTTTATGCTTTATATTTATTTATTTAAATCTTATAATTTCAATTAGTTTTGTTGTCTGTTGACAATAATAAGAAAAAATTTTGTTATACTCGAAGTATGTTAATTTCGTTGACTGAAGTGTCTCTGCTTTTTTTAGAAAACAAATTATGTATAGATCAAATATTTGATTTTGTAAAAGAAATCTCAATAATAATAAATCAATTAATTAATCAACCATATATTTCTTTTCTCATTAGACTTTCAATGAAAAAATTTTGATAAAGATGTGTTAACGTTCTATGCCTGAAAAAGAATTTTCGTACGAACCATATGTTAAGAAGTATAAGTGAATCTTTGAAAAGTAGAAGAAAAATTTGATCTAAATGATATTTAAAGAAAAATGCAAATGTCCCCCTATGAAATGATATCCTTCTTATTACTTTTATGAGAAGTTTCTATCAATAAAAAGGCTTATAATAAAAGACTTATTGACATATTTATATTCGATATATATGATAGAATTCAGATTGATGTTGATGCTTAAAGAATATTTGTGTAAAGTTTTTTGTTTAAAATATCAAGTAACTTCTCCCGATTGTAACGTATTAAACAATGAGTCTTTTGATAAGATTCATAAACAATTTTCTTTATGTTCTAATATTTATTCAAATTTAATTTATGTTTCTTTTTTCAAATGACCTCAGTTCAATTCAAATAGTCATTAGTCCAGAAATCTTACTCATATGAACTGCTGATCGCAAGATTCAATTAGTATGATTAGGTACACCAGATCAGGCATCATATGATCATGGTTGCATAAGAGAAAAATAATTTTTGAATTTTAATATCAAGACAGACGAACTCTTTGCCAGTATTTTCATATGAAGAAATCCAATATGATTTTTTTTTGTATTAACCTCTTTGTATATCTGTTGTGTCTGTTATTTATTTGATTAAATCAGTAAATTGAATGAAGGCATTAATAATTGTTTTCTTATTCAAACGATTAATGTGGAAAATCAGCTATTGTAATCAATTTAAATAAAATAGTCTGGTTGCTTTGCCTTTTATTTTGAAGAAAGTTCGTTTCCATGAAAAAGTGCATTTTGATCAGAGACTTCTCTTTAGGTTCTCTAATAGTGTAGAGCTAAGTTCAAATTTGGGTGTGGGTGTAGATAAAGAGAAGACCTCTACCCACATTCACACACCCACACCCTTCAAAAAAATTTCTTCAAAAGAAAATTTTTATCAAGATCAAATAACAGGAAAATTAGAAGCTGTTGGAGATACAGTAGAACCATTTCATTTTATTTTACATCCAAAAGATGAACAATATTTAACTCGTGAAGATCAAGATAAAGGAAAAGAATTATATTCACTTTTAGTTCAATTTGAAATTCTTCAAGGAGATACAATAAGAAAAATATTTCGAAATAATTCACAAGAACGAGATAAAATAGAAAAGATAATTTGAAATGATCTTGATCCTTCGATTGCCGATCCATTAATTAGTTTATTAAATAGTAAATCTTATTTTGAAAAAAAAAGATTTCGACGATATTGTTTGTTATAGTGAAGAATTATGGCAAATTTTAAATATAAATAGAATAGAAAAAGAATTACCACGGATATATGAAAATGTTTGGAAAGATTTAGAAGATAAAATAGATCCACAACAAGTTAATATTTCTCTATGTGAACAATCAATAGAAAGAAAAATATACGAAAATTAAATTTAATGGTAATGGTCATGAAACAAAAGATCATAAAACATATTTAATAGAATTAAAAGATAATATTAGTCAACAAAATCAATATTTTTATCAACACAGATTTACCATTTACTACTAAAGAAGAAGAAGGAAATAATATTCGAATTTATCAAAAAGAAAAAAATATTTTAAAGTCTGGTGGACTTGCTAAATATAAATATGGAGATATTAAAAGAAATATTGAAAGAATTTTAAATAAAATTTTAAAAAATACTCAATTTGAAAATGATAAAGAATTAATTTTGTCGAAAATTTTGTCTTTACAAGGAGATATTCGTTCATTTAAAAAAGGTTTAAAAGCTAATTTAAAAGATTTTATAGATCTTCAAGATCAAGAAAATGTTCCAAGTGAATTAAGATTTTTTTGAAGGTTTTAATCTTAGTAAATTTTTGATTATTGAAGAAGATAAATCTTGGTGGGATTGAAATGGTTTTGCCGGAGCTGTTTTAGTAGCCTTTGGTTTGACTCAAATAGGCAATGCTTTAATTAGTGAAGGTGTTTCTAATATGGCAGAATTATCAGGTACTTTTAGTTGGAAAGAATGGGCAATACAAAAAGCAATTAGCTTCGGTCTCTCTATGTTGACTGCTGGAATTGGAAAGTTTTTGACGGATAAAATTATGGAACAGATTCAAGAAAATGTTTATACAAAAGATTGTTAGTAAAATAGAAGAAAATTTATTAAAAGGAATAATCGATTTAATAAATAATAAAGTAGAAACTCTTTATCTTCAAAGTAAAAATGAAGAAGAGTTCGAAAAATCTTTTGAAGAATTGAAAAAACATATTAGAAAAAACATTAGGAAAATATATTTTATTACCTCAACAATTTGATAATATTCGAACACGAGTTGTATCTTCTTTAAGAAATAGTTATCATCTATTTGCTGATGGTCTAAAGAAATCAAATTCAAAATACGTTAAAATAGCTGCTACTACTCTTAAAGCAATATATATCATTAATAAGTTGTGGACTGTAGTTCAATCTGTCTTACAGTTCGAACATGTCTTTAGTACTTTAAAAGATATTATTGAAGGTACTACCAAAGAAAATCAGAATATTTATAGAAAAAAACATTAATCAGAACCTTGTCGAAACAAGAGCAGAACAGTTGAATAGAATCATTAGAGAATATATATATCAACTAAATTAACAAAATAATTAGATAAAGTAGTCACAATGTAATGGAAAAATCCAGCTAATATATTGAAACAATCGAATCAAAATAGACAAAATCATGCAGAAAGTCAAATTGCTGTTGAACAATCTCCAATAAATCAAGATTCAAAGAAAGAACAACAAGATCGAGCGAAGCGAGAAGATCTACAACATAATATTAGAAATCCAAAACAAATTACTGCAAGTTATTTGAGATAAGCAAAAGATAAAGATAGAGCTTTAGGTCTAACTGATATCAAAATGTTAGCAGATCGTAAAAGAAGAAAAATAACTGTTTACAATTCAGATACTGACGAAAAAGAAATAATAAATCCTTCAGAAGTAAGAAAAATACTTGCTCTTTTTAAACAATCTGCCAAAATCTATTATGAAGCAGGTGAAAATGGAGATATTAGACATTATTTTACTGGTAGAGGAACAGAAACATATATACAGATCAATGAACGGAAAGATTGTTTGCTAATAGCTTATCATGAATCATTAGGTAGAAAAGTAAACCAAAGAAAAACCTTTACATCTTCAATCCTATAACTGTAATACAGGATGGATCACAGAATGGATCGGTACCATTGGTAAATATTAAAGAAAAAAAACAACTTTCAGATGTTATAAGCAATAGAGATCTAGAAAAAGAAATAAAATATAAATTAATACCTGAAGCTATGAAAAAATTAAGGAATGAAAATGATAAACTAGTGGTAATTACGTCTCAGCCATTTAAGGCGGATACAATAAAGCAAACAGATAATGTACGCTTAGATGATCAGAATTTTACTGGAAATAGTGACTATGTTGATTTTCAAGTGCAAATAGGTGGACAGAGATATAAACATCAACGTAGAGGTAATGAATCTACAACTGTCGCACATATTTTAGTGACAAGACCACCGAAAGATTCTGATGCTGTTTATCATTATAGCTCAAGAAAAATTGCTAAGACCCTTCTTGATAGTTTAAATAATGGCAAAACAGTAAAATTACTTGCAGAAAATCTTTAATAGGCATTTCAAATTAATCACCTTTAAGTTTTGGTTAAAATTTATATGTGAACAGTATCAAAATCTTTTTCATCGATACAATGCTCCTATTATTGTTTAAATAAATCTCATTATTAGTAGCATATTCCCTTTCTCCTTATGTATTTTCAGCAATCAATGTGTTGCCTTCTTCAGATTTTATTGATCGAATGAAATGTACTAGAATATATACACATTCACCTTTCTATTTTTATACAATTTGACAGTAGATCAGTACAACAGTAATAACTTGCAGGAGTGACTTTTCTCTTGCTATTTTCTTCCGATTCATTCTCATATTGTATAATAACAATAAAGAACAAAGAAAAAAAGATGAAGATATATATGTTCTAATACATTTCATTCCATTAATAAAATTTGATAGAAGGACTTTTGATTATGAAAATATCATGAAGTGAAAAAAACGTATTCTGTTGAAGAAAAGATTTATTTGAACAATTCTTCTATGTTAATTTATTATTTATACGAATAGCTTGCATCTGTAACATGTTGTTTTAAAGAAAAACATTTTCAAAAAATTAAGTTGTTAGAAAAATTTTTCTTTTTTGCATATTTCAGTAGTTAGTTAGTACTGGTCCTATGATTCAAAACCATATAACTTTCAATACTACCGCTACCACGGAGGAAATAGATATTTTAGACTTTTTTTAGTTTGTAGAGTAGGTCTGGACACATCATTTTTGGATTTCTCTTTTGAATGATGGCATGATCTCGGAAATATTAGCCAGGAAAGTCTATACACCCTCAATCATCAAAGACTGTGGGTGCTCAGTTTGACCGAAAGCTTCAGTTCTTTTTCTATCATCTTGCTTCCATAATACATCAGAAAAAAATGTTTTTTTTTTACCACTTACAGTGTTTGCATAATGCTAATGAACGCTATCTCATGTGAAATCAAAATCTTCAAAAAAATCTGTCTGTAAGTAGAAAAATATTTTTTTCAAGACTTTGATTATTTTGATTTTACATAAGATAGAGACTCCTTAGACTTGCCTGTTCATTAGAATTATGTGAACACTATAAGTGGTAAAAAAAATCATATTATGGAAGCAGGACGATAGAAAAAGAATTGGGGCTTCCGGTCAGACTCAGCACCTCCGTATAGTTCCAAATATCATTTCTAAAAAGTTTTGTTTGTCACAATTTACTGCAAAAACATTCATATGTTTGTGTGTACAAAGTTTCATCAAACTAATAAAGAAATGTAAGTTTAAAACTAAAAAATTTTACTAATATCCATTCTCTGTTTAAAAACGCCTAATAATTGAGCTATCTCAATTACTTTCACTTATGTATTGCGTTTTTTTGTATAACAAATTGTCTGTTATGTTTTATTATTCATCTTTCATTATTGTACTGTTTCC